GGCAGGCGGCTGGGGGGCAGCGGCCGCCCAGGGGCTGTAGCAGCGCCGAGCACACCAGCGGCTGCACCTGGGGAAGGAGCGGGTCAGCGAGGACCCGGCGGGTCGGCGGGGAGGGGCCGGCCAGCGCCGCTGACCTCGTCGTTGCCGCAGGCGCAGCCCGACGGGTCGGCACAGGCCTCGGGGACCACATGCAGCGTGCCCGGCCCGTGGAAGCGAAGGCGGCCGGCGCGGGACGTCAGGAAGGCGGCCAGGTCGTCGTCGCGCAGGAACGTCTGCCGGAAGGTGATGCGTCAGCGTGTCGGAGCCCAAGCGCCCGGGCCGCGGGGACAGCGGGCGCCCCGGAGATCCCGCCTCACCTGACCCAGAGCCGACACGCTGCGCACGCTTCGGGCTCCCGGGCCCAAACCCACGCGGAAGGAGGAATCCAGCGGAAAGACTACGTCGTCGTGGCGGCAGGGCACGCGCTCGGCGTCCACGCAAAAGAGGCCGCGGGTCGCGTTCCCTGAGCGCCACAGGCGTGGGTCGTACCACGAAAAGCGGTCGGGGTCGCTGAAGATCGCGCGGGAGCCTGGTGGGGCACAACCCTGAGCTCCGCATGGAACACGCCCTCCGGGCGAGCCCTGCCACGGACACGCCTCCCGAACACACCCTCCCTCCGAGCCCCGCCCACGCCTGCTGGACGCCCGGGTCTCTGAACCTGCCCTCCGAGCCCCGCCCCAGACACGCCTCCTGAACACACCCTCCCTCCGAGCCCCGCCCACGCCTGCTGGACGCCCGGGTCTCTGAACCTGCCCTCCGAGCCCCGCCCCAGACACGCCTCCTGGACGCCCGGGTCTCTGGACCCGCCCCCCCCTCCAAGGCCTGCCCAAGGCACTCCTTCCTGGAAACCTGGCTCCCTCCGAGCTCTGCCTCTGGACACGCTCCCCCATCCAGCCACAATGGCCATGGTCTCCTGCCAAGCTCCACCAGGGACACTCCCTCCCTCGAAATTCGTCCTTAGGACACGCCCTCTCATCAAGCCCCGCCCAAGGCCTTGCCCTCCCAGAATGCCCTGGCCCAGGACACACCTACCTAGAAAGCCTCTACCCTGAACCGCGCTTCCGGCAAGCGCAAGGCTTTGCCCCCATAAACCCCAGCCCCGTCACACCCTCCCTCCATGCCCCGCCCCTGGCCGCGCCTTCCTAGTTTGCCACACTTGTGGCCACGCCCTCCCCGGTGCCCCGCCCATGACCACACCTCCCTCCGTGCTGCGTCCCTCACCACGCCCCCTCTCCGTGCGGCACCACTTCCTGGGAGCCGCGGCCGGTCCCCGCGGGCCTCACCTGCCATGCAGTCCGGGTCTGAGGTGGTGCTTGGGGTGCTGAATCCCGCTCCAGAGACCAGGATGAGCTCCCCGTCCAGCGGCAGGAGCTGTGGAGGCACAGGCTTAGGCGGGCGGCGTACGCGGTAGCGCCTGCACCCACCCCAATTCCGGCTCCCAAGGGAGCAGAACCCAGGTAATCAAGGAGAAGGCCAAGGTGAGGCGGAGGCGGGGCCAGGACACCGCTAGCAGGGGGCGCAGGATCTAGCCAAGGAAGGAAAGGGAAGGAATGTGGGGACCGGCCGAGAGGGAGAACAGCCCAGGATGCAGACTTCCTCGAGACTGGAAACAGCGGGGGTTTGCGGCAGGGGCCATTACCCTCCCCACCTCCACCCCTGCAAGACTGTGGAAGCGAAGGAGTCAGGAATTCCAGGAACTCAATTTTAAAACCTTGAGAAGCCTCTGGGGAGGCTAAAGGCCGCACCGAACTGTGTGAGGGAGAGAGCTGTCAGAGATGGATGACAGAGAGGATGGGAGCCCTGAAGTGGACCCTGCCTCCCTCCCACGCCTGGGCCCCACTGCGGAAGCCCCTTCCTCACAGGAACCAGGCTACATCCCAGGCCTCAGGTGTAAGAGGGGTCATGGAGCACCAAGGCTGGGACTTAGGGGGCTACTGACCAGCAACCCCGACTCCCCACTCTGACCCCAGGACCCTGTGGTGCCGCTGCTTCAGGTGACACCTGCTCTGCACCAGGGTCACGAGCGTCTCCTCATGGAGTTGTCCCCTCAGGGACAGGCCTGCTCTTCAGCCCTTCCCAGTGCACCCGGCCTGAGCCTGGGTAGGGGCTCACCTGTGAGGGTGTGACTTTGAGACACTGCTGCCCTCACCTGCCACAGAGGTGGAGCTGCAGACGCATGGGAAATGCTTATATGTGTCTCGGGAGGAAGGAGGTGTTGACAGTACGACGCACAAACAGGAATTTTTCTTTTTTAAAGAAACAAAGGGAAAAATAGAAAAAAATATAATCGTCAAAAAGGGCACAATAGGAGAGGACATGAGGAGAACACCTGACAAGGTGGGTATTCACCTCCCCACAAGACAGCTGAAAAGGGCTGAGTGATTATGACAGAAAGATAGACATCAAAGTGCCCAAATTCAGATACCAAAAGTCCCGTAATGAGGGGTGAAGAGGAAATAGCTGAAAAAATCAATGAAGATGAACTTTCCAGACTTGAAGAAAGTCGGAAAACCTCACACTGAATGGTCTCATTGAGTCCCAAATGGGAAATAAAGACAGCCCACACCTAGACATATGACAGCAAGTTTATGCATATCAAAGACAAACAGCACAGTCTAAAACCTTCAGAAAGAACAGCTTATCTATGAATGCAACAATTCTCAACAATGAATGCAAAAAGACAAAAGAATCATATTTTAAATATAAAGGAAAATAAAAGTTAATCTTGAATTTTATATCCAGCCAAACTACCACTCAACTTTGAAGGTATAATAAAGTAATCTCAGACCAAAAAGGAAGGAGTTGCTACACAAGGACAATTGCCATACAAAGACCTACCCTGGAAGCGTGTGGAGAAGTAAGAAAGGAGACAAATCCAGAAGCTGCAAAGACATATGAGAAGTAAGGGAGATGGAATGCTTTGGCAGAGCTTATTGTAATTTTTAAAAGCTACAGCTGAAAATACAAAGCCAGGGCTAAAATGTGATGGAAGTGGAAGAAATGGAGACCAAAGGACATGGACAAACACAAGAGAACTTGCTTGTTAGAGGAAGGACACAAACATTGAAAAGTTTACAAAATCAATTGTTGTTGTTGTTATGTGCTGTCGAGTCGGCCCCGACTCATAGCGACCCCTCCTTGGGTTTCCGAGGCAGTATCACTACAGAAGCAGGATTGCCCAACCTTCCTTCCGAGGAGTGGCTGGTGGGTTTGAACCGCCAGCCTTCTGCTTAGCAGTCAAGTGCCTTAGGCACTATGCTACCAGAGCTCCTACATAATCAATAGGACTACCAAATTTGAAAGGTGAACTGGTGGCACAACAGTTAAACACCTGGCTGCTAACCGAACGATTGATGGTTCAAACCCACCCAAGTGACTCCAGATTTGAAAACCTGGATGAAATATAGGCACTCTGGTGGTATAGTGCCTAAGGCATTTGACTGCTAACCAGAAGGCTGGCAGTTAAAACCCACCAGCCACTCCTCAGAAGGAAGACTGGGCAAAATACTTCTGTAGAGATACTGCCACGGAAACCCATGGAGGGGTCGCTATGAGTCAAATTGACTCAAAGGCAGTGAGCGTGGTTTTTTTGGTTTGGATGAAATGAACTCTAGAAAAACTCACAAAGTCAAAAATTGACATGAGAACCAATAAGGAATTTGGATAAATGAGTAAGCATTAAAGAATCGTAAATGTTAGTCAAAGACCTCATATTCCTAAGAGTCACAGTCCAAATGGTTTAACAGGTGAGTTCTACAAAACTCTCAAGCACAAGCCATTAAAAGAAGTTGTTCCAGAAAACAGAAGAAGAGTGAGAAACATCAGCCTGTTTGATGCGGCCAGCGTAATCTTCATTCCAAAGTCAGATGAAGAATGATAAAAGAAAAAGAAAGTTCATAGGCCCATTTTACTTAAAAATGCAGGTACAAATATTCTAAATAAAAAAAAAACATCAGACAACTAGGTCGAATAGTGTGTTAACATTCCTGTGATCAAATAGAGGTCATGTCCCAAGAAGGTAGGTTGGAGGGTGGAGCACCATTACGTGTCTCAGCAGATGACAGTAGAGAGTGTTGTGCCAGCAAAATTTATGTACTATGGCAGAGGGAAGTAAGTGTCTTGAAGGGGCACGTTTTGTCACCCGGGAAGGGTGCCAGGAGGACATCAGCCTTGCAGAGTCAGTTCAACCTCACAAGAACCCTGGTTAATAGGCCAAAAGAGAAAACCCACACCTCGATCCACATAGAAAATGATAAAGTTCAACAACCTATTATTTATGATATGATTTTTCAAAAAGCTGCTAACAAACTGGCAACAAGGATAGGCTTTCCCCAGTGTGATAAAAAGCTGGGGGTGGTGTAGGCGGGTAGGGGCGCCCGGGGCGGCGTGGAGTCTATTTGGCCGCCCCCAGGGTGGTTTTCACAACTAGGCCGGGAGGGTGAGGACGGCGCCCCCTCGCGGCCGTGCTCTGGTGCACCCGGACCAAGCCTTCCGCGCCGCGAGGCCCCACAGAGAGAGGGAGGCGTCCCCTCTGGGCAGTGGGGGATAGTCTAAGGAGCAGGCTGGAGGGACCCCAGAAAGGTGTGAGGAAAGAATGAATGAATGGGCGCTGCCCAGGCTCTGCCAAAGGAGACGTTAACACAGTACCGAAATTAGCGCGGAGGGGCCCCAGGCGTGGCTCCCACCCACCCCGACTCCTCCCCCTCCCCCCTACTTTCTACCCCACCCGGTTGCCAGGGTGACAGGTCGGCTTTGGGGGCTGGGCTGCAGGCTCCCGCCACCCAGTGCCTCTCTCTGCAGCCTCGCCGCCCGCCCTGGTCGGTCTGGAATGCACACATGGCGGGCAGGGCAGCCTGACTCCCCACCTGCGACCCGGACACCCGGCCTCCTTCTGGCCAGCCCCCCAGCCCTGCCCAGCGCGGGCCCAGGCTCCCAAGGTTAATACCACCCATTCACCAGCGCCTTCGGGGTGGAAAACTGAGACCGCGGCCCCGGGGCCTGCTCCCGCGCCTGCGCAGATCGGGCCGCCGCCCCTCACGCGCTCCCTGCCGCGGCCCCCGGGGGCGGGTCCAGCCCTGCTCCGCCCCTTGGTCGGAGCCTGCGACCGACCCTCGCCGAGGTGTGGCCGAGGCTGGCGGCCGGCAGAGGGCGCGGCAGGCTTTGGGTGGGGCGTCCCCCCACTGAACGCTGAGGTTCCCTGAGCCAGGAGCCGGTGAACCGGTCTGTGGCGCCCCTGCGGCTCCACGCTGCGTCCCGTGGACCCGCTGCAGTGGTGCCTGAACCTTCCCGACCCGGCACACCTGAGAAGCCAGCTCCAGCCACACGATGTGGCCGCACTTTCCCGCGCTCTGCTTTAAACCAGACCTCGGGCTTTCTGACAGGCCTCCTCAGAGCCTTGAAAGCCTGGCCAGGCTCCGGGCGAGCGTCGCAGGCAGCATTTCCCAAACTTAAGGGTATGGAACCCATTTCCCCTCCGAATGCCCAAGACTCTAGGGACCACTGGTGCTCTGTAAAGCAGTTTGAAAACAAGGAGGCCCATAGCGGACTTCCAGGCACCGGGACGGGGAAGGACTTCCATATGGGGCTGGGGGAGGGGGTCCCAAGAGTGCCAACTTGATAGAAGACAGACCAGTGGGGGGCTCAGAGACAGGCAGGAGGCTCAGGAGGGTCCCCCACCCCACTGCTGGCCCGGACCCTGGCACCAAGCCCTCTTGTCCCCCCACCCCCGCATGTGGTCCCCGCCCTCTCAGAAGTCCCCCCACCCCGTGCCAGCGGGGCCACGAGGCCAAGGAAGGGGCTTCAGGGAGAATGGGGGGCCCGAACCCCCGGCCCGCCCTCACCAGCTCCGAGACACGGTGACTCGCTCGCACCAGGACGGACGCCACCTGCGGGAAGGACTGTGTTAGCGCGGGCAGGGGCCGGGTGACCCCTGGGCCCCTCCCATCCGGACCACGCAGAGGAGCCGAGCCAGGGCCGCGTGGGGACACCAGGCACCTTGTCGGCCGGGAACTCGACGGTGGCGCCGGCACACGGGGTCCGGTTCTGGCTCCAGTTGGTGGGGTCGTCGAAGTCAGTGTTGGGGACCCAGAATTTGTAGGCAGCCCGGGTCAGCGCTGGGGCGGGGAGAGGCCAGCTGAGTGCCTGCCGAGGCCCCAGCGCCCCTGGTCTGGGCTGGCCCGGCCCGGGGTCCCCGCGGCTGCCCATGTCTGGTTGGAGTCAGCGCCAGGGCGCTAACGAACTCCTACGCGATCCGCAGAGCCCTTGCACACGCCTCCCCGACTCGGGGCGCTCGCGGGGAACGCTCCCCGCCCTGTACGGACTGTGACAGTCCCCGGGAGTAGAGCAAAGGCGGCGTCTGCCCCAGTCTGGGGTCGAGAGGCTTCCTGGAGGAGGCTCACCCCGGGCAGGATTTGCTACGGCAAGAAGGGCATCCCACGTCGGGGAGCCGCCCAGGCAGTGAAACAAGGGGCTAGGGGCGCAGGGCTGGCCGGGCGGCGTCCGTGGCGGGGGGGGCTCAGGGAGAGGGGCGGGAGCTCGGCTAGTTTCTGAAGCCCTCGGAGCCTTGGGGACAGGGCAGCGGCGCCCCGAGGAACCAGGGCGCGAGGCGCAGTCAGCCGCTGCCGCGCCTTCGGGGCTGGGAAACTGACTCCGGCAGCCGGGCGGCGCAGGCGCCCTCGCACGGCCTGAGCCCGTGCGCGTTCTGCAGACGCGCGAACCTGGCCCCAAGGCGGGGAGCCGCGGTCACCCCTGCACCTCTGGCAACCCGCGCATCGCCCTCCCAGGGACCCGGGCCGGTTTCGTGCCCCTGAGGCCTCGCTGCCCACCCCTCGGGGGCCTCGGGCACCCCAGCCCCGGCCGCGCGCCCGGCCTACCCCAGAGCTGCAGCCACAGCAGGAGCTGGCCCAGCGCGCCCATCCCGCCGCTCCGCGCAGCGCTCCCGGAGACTTTGCCCCGCGGGGCCCACGTGACCGGGCAGGGTGGGGTGGGGGCCGCCAGGGCCAGTTACACATTTACCTGCGGACCTGCCCGGGCCCCTCAGGAAGGGCCTTCTCGCCTTGCACTCGCCCCCTTCAGCGCCTGAAGACCTCGCACGGGATGGGCTTGCCCATCAAGTGTGGGGTGCACAGCCTCTAGGCTCACCTCCTTTTCTGTTCCAACAGCAGCCACCTCTGCACCTGGTCTCCAACCCTCCAGGCAGGCCCCCTCCTTCCCTCCTGGCCTGGATGGATGGCTGGATGTTGGAAGGATGACAGAGCTGGGTGGTACATAGATGACTGGAAGGGTGGCGGGTTGTCAGTGGTGACTGGTGATGGAAGGATGGTGGGCAGGTGGGTCCTGCGTGGTGGACTGTGTGGATTGGCTGGTGGGTGTATGGTGAGTGGGGAATACTGGGGGGTAATTGTATTGATTGGCGATAGAGGGGAGTTCTTGCATGGCACAGGTAAGTGCTCAACTCCTGGCTGCAAGGTTGTCGGTTTGAACTCACCCAGAGGCACCTGGGAAGACAGGTCTGGCAATCAACTTCCATGAGGTCACAGGCTTGAAAACTCTATGGAGAACACATGGGGTTGCCATGAGTCAGAACCAGGTTGACAGCAACAAGCCACAACAGTGGGTGGATAGATAGGAGATAATGAGTAAGCGAGTGGATGGTCCTGGAGGGAGGGTGGGTAGAGAAGGAGTGGTGCATGGCTGGCTGGATGACAGACGGCAAGGAAATGTAGGCATGCTGCGTCGTGAATGGTGGATGGTAAGTAGAGGCAGCAGTTAAGAAATCAGACACCGTACTGGGCAGATTGGCTACAGAAGATGTCTTCAAAATGTTCAAAAACAATGATGACACTTTGAAGACTAAGGTGTGCCTGACCCAAGCCATGGTATTTTCAGCTGCCTCATAGGCATGGGAAAGATGGACAATGAATAAGGAAGACAAAAAAACTCAATGCCTTTGAATCATAGTGCTGGTGAAGAATATTGAATATACCACTGCCAGAAGAATGAATAAAAAAAGCTCTCTGGGGGCCATAGAGCCAGAATGCTTCTTAGAAGGGAGGCTGGTGGCTCCATGTCCATGTTCTCAGGAGGGACCAGTCCCTGGAGAAGGACATGGTGCTTGGTAAAGGAGAAGGTCAACGAGATGGACTGACACAGTGGCTGCCAGCATGGGCTCAAGCGTAGCAGTGCTGTGAGGAGGGCGTAGGACCGGGCCGTGTCTCGTTCTGTTGCAGTGGGGTCACTGGTGTCGGATCCACTCGCTGGTATCCAGCCACAACAGATGACTGTAGATGTTTGCTGGTGGATGGAAGGATGGTGTATGAATGAGTGGGTGCGGCAGGGAGACTAGATAGTGGATGGTGGATGGGTAAGGAGACATTGCAGAAGGATGAGGAGAATGGGGCATGAGACTGAATGGTAGCTGGATGGCTGCAGGGGGGTGAGTGGGGCTGGTGGAGAGAGAGCTGGGTGGACATCCATGGGGTGGATCAACGGGTCAGTGGGCAGAAGGTCATGAGTGCAGGATGGATGGATAGACGGGTGTTAGAGGGATGGATGTGGGTGGATGAGCGTGTGAGTCACATGAATGGATAGTTGGATGGGTGGTAACTGAACGGAGGATGGATTTGTGGGTAATGGAAGTGACGGACAGTAGAGAGGATGGATGAACGGTACAGGATGGATGGACAGGTGGTTGGTGGATGCTGATGGTGAATTGCATGACAGGTAGTGGGAAGGATGGCCAATCGATTGATAGGGTCTGGACTGTGGGTCAAGGGAGCCTGAGCAGGTCTCCCTAGAAGCTGAGCTGTCCTTTTCCTGATGCAGGAAGTGGATTGCACTACGGTTGGGGCGGCAGGTAGGCTCTTGGACAGCTGGGCCTGGGAGGAATGGAAATGCTCTGACTTCTCTCTGACCCACATCTTCCATTCCTGGAGAGGCTGTGCTGTGGGGACAGAGAGCAAGGCTGCCTGGGCAGCCAGGGAGGGCTTCCTGGAAGAGGCAGTATTAAAGCAGAGACCGGAAAGATGGCCCAGCGGAGCTGCAGTGCAGAAGTTGGCCTGAGGGGGCAGAATACGAGTAGCTGGGCATGGCTGGCCATGGAGTTTAGCATCCATCTCACCGTCCCCTATAAAGGGCTTCTCTGGGCAGAGGCTGGAGGTAGGTCCAGCTGTCGGAGGCTGGCTCAGGGGGGAGACCATGCCAGGCGGGAGGAAGACGCCAGCCCTGGTTCCGTGCAGCACAGGAACGCTGAGAGCAAATACTCGATGTAAGGGATGCCTGGGACCATACGAAAGCCCACGTGCGGAACCGATGAGGACCCCCAGTAGGCAGCGGGAGGAACGCAGCGCCGGAGAGAGCATTCCCGCTTTAGCTAGGAAATCCTCGGAGCAGCCGCTGCAGGCAAGCCTGGGTCCAGGGGGCGTCTCTGTCTCTCTGCCTCCCGCCCACCCGTTCCTGGGTTGGCAGTCCTCCCACACAGGCTCCTCCCTGTGGCTGGGTGCTGAGGGCTGGAGGTCTCTGATTGGTTCCTGGTTCCACCTCTGTACCAATCACCATGGCCAGGGGTTGCTGTGCTCTGATTGGCCTTCCTGGTCCGCCCACCCACTCCAGGTGGAGTGTGCTGAGGGCAGAACCCCTGGGTGGAGAGGGGAGAGCCAGGCGTGCCCCGGGCCCCTGCTCATGCACCACATGGAGGGTCACCACCACTCCCTCCCAGCTCCCTTCTCCACAAGTCTGTGGGGGTCCAGGCACCCTCAGCTCAATTGCGCGCTCTTCTCCCACTTCTGGGCTCCGTTTGCTGGTGCCCTTGGATGCATCCCTGCCCTGTCTGCACGGACGGAGGCTCGGGGTGCTGGTGGGTTCCTGGACACCGGAGAGGAGGGCCTCCCTTCATTCCGGACTGTGCACAGAGTTCTCACAGCGCCCGGCCCTCCCTGAACCTCAGCGTGTCTCTGGTCAGCCCACAGCCGACACCCCAAACCCTTAGGGAGCACACGACTGAGGGAGGCAGGTGGCACCTCCAGGCCCAGCAGACTCGGTGGGGCTGGGGACTCAGGGTCTCTTTGCCCCTGTTTCTGCCCCCCAATTCTGGACCTGGGACCCCTCCAGGTGAAGCTTGAGGTGCTTTCCTTTGGACCCCTCTTTCACCCACACACGGGGTGCCGGCAGCTGGCAGTGAGGCTGGCCGTGGGTGAGCAGTCTTCCTGCCGTCTGGGGACGTCCCCTCACCACCCACAGAGGCTGTGTCAGCATAGAGGGTGCCGTGGCCATGTGTGGGCCCCTCCCCCCAGTGCCTCCGTCGGAGCCCCCTGAACACAAGGCCGGGGTGCAGGGGCCAGTAGGCCACGGTCAGCGCAGGAATTTCCTTGGTGTGCGTCCTGCACACGGCGGGGGTGGGGTGGGGGGGTGCTTTCCACGGGGGTCCACTCCCCCTGCAGACACTTCCATTCCCTGGGCCAGATGCTCACACCACCTCCATCCGTCCATCCTAACTGCCGCACGGGGCCTACTGTGACAGGGGCTGAGGCCCACAGGGCCCCTCCAGCTGCATTCTTGGGGTGGCTGAAGTGGGCACACACGCAGCCCTGGGGCTCTCTGGTTTCTCCAGCCGTAGAGGTGGCAGGGACTAGACTGCACAGCTTAGGACACAGGGCTTCCCAGGTGTCGGGTGCCTGCCACCCACCACACACGACTCCAGACGCAGGCCCAGCACTGGAACCAGCGACTCAGGAGAGGGCAGTGCCAGCCAGCTCCTGGCCGGCTTCCCTGGGCCTCTCCGGGGTGGGCGGCAGCCGTACGTGGAGGTGCCCCTTCACTGAAGCACTCTCCCAGGAGGCCCCCCGGGGGCCGGGGTCTCAGGTCCACCGAAGAGTTAGCACAGACTGGGCCTGCCCTTCATCCCCTGGGCTGAGGGGGGAGGGCGAGGCTTGGAACAGGCCAGCACAGCTGCCTCCCTGCCCAGCTCCTCCCACTGGTCCAGCCCCTCCTCATTCCCACAGGGCCACAGGGTGATGACCTGTCCCGCGCTTTCCAGCTTTCCGGATCAAGGAGTCACAAGATGTCCCTCCTCCTCCTCTTTCTGCTTGAGGTTGGAGCTTCGGGCTGAGGCAAGGATGTGGGAGGCCTGGGTCCCTGGGAGGGGCTGTGCAGAGCCCACCATATCTCCTCAAACCTGAGACCCTACGGAAGCCGCCTCTGGGGCCACTGTGCCTGGTGACACCCCGCCATCAGTGCGCCCCACCAGCCCAGCTGCTCTTCCTCCTTAGTGCTTATCATTGACTTCCTGTCCAGGAGGAGTGGGGGTGGGGGATGGGTTCCAAGTGGGTGAATGGAGTCCAGTTTTTGAATCAGGCTGGCTCCCCCTCAGTGAGTTGGACACCCCCAAGTGCAGTCAGTGTGGAGGGCTGATCCCACCCCACAGGGCTCTTTTCCTGGGGTTGCCCCAGTCCCACGCGCCCAGCCACTCAGCATTGGCGCTGTCCACACCTGCTCACCACTGGCAGTTTGAGTCCGTGCAAAGGACTATAAAGAGGGTGGTTAAGACAGACATTTATTGTACCCCAGTTCTGGAGGCTAGAATCCTAATCAAGGCTGGCAGCACTGTGCCCCATCTGCTCTTGGGGGACACCCTTCTTTCCAGGGTCCAGGAGCCTGAGCCATCCCTTGGCTTGCCTCTGCAGTATGACCGTCTTCACAGGGCAATCTGCCCTCCCTCTCTCCAACACCTCTCTCAGCTGGGATTAGGGCCCACCCTACGCCAGTGTGACCTCATGTAAGCTGCGGATATCTTCAAAGACTCTATTTGCCAACAGGACTACATTTGCAAGATGAGTTAGAACTCTGGGAAGGTACTGTCCAACCCTGACAGGGCTCATCCGTGGACACACTGGCTGTGGGGCGTGTGGGGTCACCCAGGG